AGATAGGTCTGAACTAGCAAGTTGCATTAATTCAGAACAAAACTCCGCCTAAAAACATCCGAGACACTGAACGCCTGTTGGAATGATGTTACAAATAGAGAAAGGGGGTCAGGTTAATTCTGCTCACTATGAATCCACTTATAAAGCGAGATGGACATAAAATCAAGGAGACACGCTGAAAAAAAAAGGTATTTTGTGGAAAAGAGAGAGAGGGGGACAGAGAAGCAAGAAGACAAAAGGGGAAAAATCGAGGGGGGGGGCACACAACTAGCAAATAGAGCTTTGTAGCCATGGATAATCAGCTGCCTGGGGCTTTTCAGATTAAGGATCTGTACCTAGGGACAGACAACTGACCTCCTTCTACTTATCCTGTTTATTCTCACACAGCTCCTTAAGCAGGAATGGGGTTCCTTCCTAGGAAGGCCACTAACAGCAACACACATGTGAGCAACTCTATTGGCCAGCCCTGCTGGAAAGAAAAGAAAAAATGTGTAAGAGATAAGTGACCTAAAATGACCTTTCGTTTAAGATAAGTTATACAATCAATAACCACACAGAGAGATAAATATGCTGCTCCGTGTTCAGCAACACCATGCTCAGAGGTCGAGATAGCTTGGAATCCAGTCAGAATGCCATGAAGTAGTCTCTGGTGAAGCTTACCACGTGCGACTGATGCTGAGGACAGCGTTCTCAGATTTCTCTTATTCCCTTCGTGTCTCCCCAACCCACTGGATTAGCTAATAGAAGCAAAATGTGCTGCCAAAGTTACCATTCACTCAGCAGGGCATCTTGGAAGTCTGAAGAGTTTCGAGACTATAAGCAGCCCAGAACATCTGTTCAAGATACCAGCAATAATTGCCTCCATGCCCACAACCTCTTCAGAGCAAAGCTCACCCTGCCAAGACATAGCTCCTCTGGTTTACTGTTTGCTGAGGTCACATGAGGGAGAGGAAACTCTTCAGGGAGCGATTCTTTGTCAGGGTGCCAACCTGTGGCACAAGAAAGAAAAAAAAAACAGTTGAGACCAATCACTTCTGGTTTTGTTTTGTTCTCAGGACAACCTGGAATCTGTTGATAAAGCCAAGTAACAAGAGAACAGGAAAATTCATGAGTTTTCAGAGAAGCTGAGGAAGGAATAGAGAAGTGTAGGTCACACGGCATCTGCTTTCAGTCAATCAAAGCACAGACCCTCACAAAATAAGTATATATGGTCAAAAATTTATGTCCAGAGATAGAGAAGTAGCGTTATAGCATTCTGATCTAGCAGCACAGGAAACCTGGAAATCACAAGGTCAGAAGATGAGATTCGGCAGCAGAGGCAGAGAAAACCACAAGGATGAACAAAATCAAAAACCCTCAAATGATCCAGCATTCACTCCCACTTTTATCATTAAACTAAAAAGATTTCTCTACTTTTATCCATTCTGTATCCCTCCCCAACCCCTCTATTTTCAGTGTGAAAATGTATATTTTAGGAGGCTGGAGAGATGGCACAGTGGTTAAGAGCACTGACTGCTCTTCCAGAGGTCCTGAGTTCAATTCCCAGCAACCACAAGGTGGCTCACAACCATCTGTGATGGGATCCGATGCCCTCTTCTGATGTGTCTGAAGACAGCTAGAGTGTATTCACATACATAAAATAAATGTTAAAGAAAAATTTTTAAAAAAGAAAATGTATATTTTAATGTAAATTTTGTCTTATAATAATGTAAAAATAAACCACCTAAGATGCTATGTCTTAATAAGTTTATTTATTATTTATTTATTTATTTTCAAATCCTTGTCTTTATTCTATTTCACCTTGTTTATGATCATGAACAGGCAGTTACTTTTAGTAAACTTTTCCTGAGTGTCATTGTTTTCGCTAAATATGACAGAATTGCTGATTAAAAACAAGATCTTATAACGGAACTCCAGGCACAACTAAGATGAAACAGAGGCTATGCGTTGGTCCAAGTCCAGCATAAAGAATGTGTTTTATATGTTATAATTACTAAAACATAATTTTTAAAACTGATGATGTGTGTGTTACATCAGTTTATTCAAAGTTATCACCAACATACAGATAACGTCCATCTGTCGATTTCACATTTGTGGTGCTGATCCACAGTTGTTTAGAATGTAGGCCCCCATGAGAAGCTTCCTTGGGGAGATAGTAGAACTTGAAGGATCAGGGTAGGATACACACAGTAAAAGAATGAGAATAATGAGAGAACAAAGATCTGGAGCCATAGAAATCTCTTGATAGGTTTCTATAGCAAATACTCTTGTGCTGAAATCCTCTGAACAAAGTGTGATTCTTAAAGTCTCCTTAGAGAGGGGATTACAATTATGTTGACTCTGTTGTACTTTATCTGTGAAGTGTCTTATACTTCAAAGGAACTTGATATCTGAGGACCTATCAGAGATTATCAATGACGAGTTTATTTCAGGAGAGTCGGCTATTGGTTGTAATGACTGGTGTTTTGTGTATACTAGCATTGTAAGGGTTTTTAAACCTCCCCTGTCTCCTTTAATGCTCTGCTTAAGATCAAATTGCAGACAGCAGCAGAAGATTAATATGAATCTAAAATAAAATCTCCATGCAGCCGACTCAAGCACATGTGAAATGAGACACAATGATAGATGGGTGACTTGAAAACTGACGACTTATTGGAAAATTCTGAGGAGAACTTCGAGGTTTATGGGCTTGTTAGTAGGATGCAGGCAAATGCTGAAACACATCTAAAGACATGTCAGAAGAACTCTGCTGAAGAAAGCAGTAGCAAAGAAGCTTGTCTTAGACAAATTAGATCATCTGGCTGGAAAGCAACTGCCAACATCACACTTAATGCGAAACACTAGAGGATGGCAGAACAAGACACCCATCTCCAGCATGTCTGTCACATAGGCTAGTATAAGTTGATTCTCTTGTCTCCCTGAAAACTCAAAAGAATCAAGTGGATAGCTATAACAAATAGCATAAATCTGAAAGTTCATGTAAATTGTACATGATAAAAAAAAATTTAGTGTTTCTCCTAAGATCACTAAGACTAATGATTCCTTTCATTGCTACAAATATATGTGAGAACAATTCACTAATAAACAAGGACAACATGAGATACACAATTCAAAACACCACTAAACTTTATAAAAAAAATAAAGTGTAATTAAATAAATGAAATCCAATACTTAATATTATAAATGTGATGATTCCTCCCAAATTTGTCAAATTTGAATTGTAATCCCTCCAAACTCCCTTGGAAGACAAATAGGCCAGAAATACTTTTAAGGTTTACTTAGAAATGTTCTTATGAAATAATCATGTATTGTATATAGGTATAGAGACATGGGTGAATGGGTAAAATGTTAGCTGTGGGAATAGGAAGGCATGAGTACGTAGAGCATCGCTTTAATCCTAACACTCAAAAGAGAGAGGCACATGGATCACTGTGTGTTACAGACTAGCCTAGTCCACATAGCAAGTTCCGGGACAGCCAGGGCTACACAGAGAAACCCTGTCCCTAAAAACCAGAGAAGGGGCTTGGGGGAGGGTGGGAGTGATAGCTGGAGACATTCAATTCAATTCAATTCAATCTTATATGGGGGATTCAGATAGGACACTACCGATAAAATAATAATAATAGTCCATTTACTGACAAGTGTAAATTCACTGTACTCAGCCCAGTAAAAGGATACTAAGAAAGGTAATGAAATAGAATGAAACCAGAAACCTGCTCTGTCTTGTATTGATTACATTTCAAAATGTGTGACTTCAAACCAAAGAATCAAGGATACATTGTGCAGTAAATTGTACTCAAAAAAAAGATTAAGTAACAAGTTGAGGAAGAAAGAAAGTGAAATGTAGCATCATGCTGTTTCTTAAAGTAACATTATTTAGCATATGAAGTAAATACTGAAGCTAAAATAAGAATAGGTAAGAATAGGAAATATTGATTGCTATCATCAAACTTCTGTTTAAACTCAACACAATCATACTTTAAGTACAAAATAGTAGGAAATGTTAAAATACTTTATAAAAACAATTATGCCTTTGCATATAAATTTATATAAACATGGATTTTATGCATAGAAAAACTCTTACATGTGTAATGAATAGTACCATTTCTACATTAATATCTTATACAAAGTTAAATAATTTTATATGCATAAAAGACAATATATTTTTAACATTTTCTTTACTAATAAATATTTGACATTTGGGCCATTTGCTTTTATATACAACTTTACAATCTGTATTATTTTTATACCTCTGTGTACATCTAGATTAAAAAATATTGAATGTAAAGAACATTACTAAACCACAGTAATGTGTATATTTATTTTTGATAATAACTGTCAACACACTCTTTAAAGCATGGGCCTGTCTATATTTCTACTTAGATTGCATGAGGTTCT